GAAGTGAATGCTTGCAAATGTGGTGCCAATCAAGTGGGCTGTTTTCTTTTAGGTGGTGTCAAGCTTCTTGAGTGTTGTTGGAGCTGTACTCATCCAGGCAAGTGGGGAGTATTCTATCACACTCCTGACTTGTGCCTTGTTGATGGTGGACAGGTTTTAGGGAGTGAGGGGGCGACTTACTTGCTGCAGTATTCCTAACACCTGACCTGCTCTTGTAGCCACAGTATTTATATGGTTAGCTCAGTTCATTTTGTATGATAACGTCCAGGATGTTTGTGGTAGGGAATTCAGTGACGGCAACAACACTAAATGTCAAGAGATGATGGTTGGATTGTCTCTTATTGGAGATGATCATTGCGTGAATGTTACTTTTCAGCCCAAGCCTGGTTATAGGTCTTGCTGCCTTTGAACATGGGCTGCGTCATCGTTGTTCCAGCAATACTTTCACATCTTCCTCTTGGCCTTTGTTTGACAATTGACATTGTGTTGCTGGTAGACTGAAGCTTGTATTTATTGCTGCATGGAAGAATGGAGGAAGGATAGGACCCTTGGAAAAACCAGATATTCCCTCAATGAATGAAAAGTCTAACCCTGTCATTGAGCAACAGAGCACCATGACAAACCTGTGAGTGTTCTGGCACTTTAACATAATTGTCTTTATTGATGTAGCGTGATCCACCTATAGGAACTTACACAAAGCCTTTAATGTAGAAAAACATACCAGAACCATTTCACAATAGAGTCATCAGAGAGTATTAGACACCAAACCACATGAAGCGATAGCAGACAGGTGACCAAAGCCTTCCTCAAAGATCTCTAAGAAGTTTCTTTATTGAAGAGAGAGAGGCGGAGAGGTGTTGGAATTCCAGAACTTAAGATCAAGGCAGCTGAAGGCTTGGCCAATAATGGTGGTGGTGGTGGTGGCGGGAGTGGGGGGGGAGGGTTAAAATCAGGAAGGTGCAAGAAGCAAGAATTGAAGAGTTGTAGAAATTTCAGAGTCATAGGGTTGGAGGAAATTACAGAGATAGACAGGAGTGAGACTTAGGATGAGATGGTGAATGTAGTGGACAATCTTAAAGGTGTGCCTTTGGCTTGAGTTGAGGTTTCAATAGCACGGAGCTAACCAGTCCCAAATTAAGAACAGAATAAAGCTGATTAGGTATGATCCTGTATGGTGTTTGCTCACTACATCAAAGCCAAGGCTTAGTTTGCTGTGCTAAATGTTAGATACAACAGTCAAATGACCAGTCTATTTTCGCAAGAGTTCCTGTTTGCCATGCTTTATCAGCTCTGCGGCTCTGGTAAGTGAGGTGTGAAATAAAGTTTGGAGTAACATTGCAGTATGAGACTGAAATCAGGTCTTTATTTATAGCAAACATTTACATTCCTACAGTGTGTCTCAAAGCCACACCATAATCACTTTGTACAATAGAGTACCAAGCTGGTCTACTATTCCAGCCTCAAGCGACTGTCTGTGTGGAGTCTGCACATATTTTTTTTAGAATCCCTACAGTGTGGAAACAGACACTTCCACCCAACAAGTCCACACTGACGCTCAGACCATTCCATCCAGACCTATTCCACTATAACCCACCTAAGCTACACATCCCTGAACACTATGGGCAATTTAACACGGCCAATCCACCCTAACCTGCACGTCTTTGGACTGTGGGAGGAAACCGGAGCACCTGGAGGAAACCCATGCAAACACGGGGAGAATGTGCAAACTCCACACAGTCAGTCGCCCGAGGCTGGAATCGAACCCCTGGTGCTGTGAGGCAGCAGAGCTAACCACTGAGCCACTGTGCCACCCTTTCTCCCGTGTTCTCCCTGTGTTTGTGCAGGTTTCATCCGGGTGCTCCAGTTTCCTCCCATAGTCCAAAGATGTGCAGGTTTGGGTGGATTGACCATGGGATAGTACCCCATAGTGTTCAGGGATATGCAGGTTTGGGTGGATTGGCCATGCTAAATTGCCCCATAGCATCCAGGCTAGGTGGGTTAGCTGTCAGAAATGCAGGACTACAGGGACACCATGGGTCTGGGTGGGATGCTGTTCGGAGGGTCACTGTGGACTTGATGGGCTGAATGTCTTGCTTCCACACTGTAGGGATTCTGTGATCAATCAGGTGTTCCTTTTCCTGATCCCATCCCACAAATGACCAGGTTTACCTGAGTTCAACTTTTCAACTATTTCTGCGGCTAAGTATCTCTGACCAGTAGCTTCATACTTGTTGGTCAACTCCAGTACAGAAACCTTGTGATGTTTGGTCTCATGCAGTTACAAACCTGGTGTCCATCCAGGCCAACAAAGAAGGTTACAAAGAAGGTCTTTCAATTCCTCCCACTTCCTACAGACAAAGGGGGTAGCCATGGGTACCCGCATGGGCCCAAGCTACGCCTGCCTCTTTGTAGGTTACGTGGAACAATCCCTCTTCCGTACCTACACCGGCCCTAAACCCCACCTCTTCCTCCGTTACATTGATGACTGTATCGGTGCCGCCTCGTGCTCCCACGAGGAGCTCGAACAGTTCATACACTTCACTAACACCTTCCACCCCAACCTTAAATTTACCTGGACCATCTCTAACACCTCTCTCCCCTTCCTGGACCTCTCTGTCTCCATATCGGGCAACCACCTCGAAACCGATATTCATTTCAAGCCCCCCGACTCCCACAGCTACCTAGAATACTCCTCCTCCCACCCACCTTCCTGCAAAAATGCTATCCCCTATTCCCAATTCCTTCGCCTCCGCCGCATCTGCTCCCAGGATGAGGCATTCCACTCCCGTACATCTCAGTTGTCCTCGTTTTTCAAGGACCGTAACTTCCCCTCCTCGGTGGTCGAGAACGCCCTCAACCGTGTCTCCCACATCTCCCGCACCTCATCCCTCACACCCCGTCCACGCAATAAAAACCAAAAAAGAATCCCCCTCGTCCTCACGTACCACCCCACCAACCTCCGGATCCAACGCATCATCCTCCGACACTTCCGCCATCTGCAATCCGACCCCACCACCAAAGACATCTTTCCCTCCCCACCTTTATCTGCTTTCCGGAGGGACAACTCTCTCCGTGACTCCCTTGTCCGCTCCACACTCCCCTCCAGCTCCACCACACCTGGCACTTTTCCCTGCAACCGCAGGAAGTGCTACACCTGCCCCCACACCTCCTCCCTCACCCCCATCCCAGGCCCCAAGAAGACTTTCCACATCAAGCAGATGTTCACCTGCACATCTGCCAATGTGGTATACTGCATCCGCTGTACCCGGTGTGGCTTCCTCTACATCGGGGAAACCAAGCGGAGACTCGGGGACCGCTTTGCAGAACACTTACGCTCGGTTCGCAACAAACAACTGCACCTCCCGGTCGCGAACCATTTCAACTCCCCCTCCCATTCCTCAGACGACATGTCCATCCTGGGCCTCCTGCAGTGCCACAACGATGCCACCCGAAGGTTGCAGGAACAGCAACTCATATTCCGCTTGGGAACCCTGCAGCCCAATGGTATCAATGTGGATTTCACAAGTTTCAAAATCTCCCCTCCCCCCACCGCATCCCAAAACCAGTCCAACTCGTCCCTGCCTCCCTAACCTGTTCTTCCTCCCACCTATCCCCTCCTCCCACCTCAAGCCACACCTCCATCTCCTACCGACCAACCTCATCCCGCCCCCTTGACCTGTCCGTCCTCCCTGGACTGACCTATCCCCTTCCTAACTCCCTACCTACACTCACCTTTCCTGGCCCCATCCCCGCCTCTTCGACCTGTTTGTTTCCTCTCCACCTATCCTCTCCTCTATCCCTCTTCTATCCGCCTCCCACTCTCTCCCTATTTATTTCAAAACCCCCTTCCCCTCCCCCTTTTCTGATGAAGGGTCTAGGCCCGAAACGTCAGCCTCTCTGCTCCTATGATGCTGCTTGGCCTGCTGTGTTCATCCAGCCCTGCACCTTGTTGTCAAAGAAGGTTACTCGTCTGTTCTCCTCACATTCATCTGTTGCCCTGCATCACTGTCCTCAATGTCCATTGATGACCACTTGCTGTTGAGTAACCATTTGTGACTGAGGATGAGTAACCAATGCTGGCCTCACCAGTGACGTCTGTGTCTAATGCTCACAAAAGAATCTTTAAAAACGAAGCACAACATCAGTGAGCACAAATCTCCGTCCATTCTCCTGCTTTTGTTTACTCTTTTGTGTTGTTTTTACAACAACCAATAATACTTATCAGGGTCACAAATAATGAGTCTAACTTCATACGCTAAATTTATTCATTGGATTCATATCCCACTAGCTAGCAGGGTGGGATATGAACCCACATTCCCACAACATTAACCTGGGACTCTGGAGTAATGAGTCAGTATCATTACATCCATGATAATGTCTTCCTCCTTAGTCTGGGTGGGGCCACGCTGGCCCAGGTTTGTGTATGTGATAACCACAGAGGAAATGTGATCTTAATCCTTATATTTCTTAGACTGAACAAATATGTTATAAGAAAGGATAATCAGTTTTGTTGTAGCATCATAGAGATGTACAGCATGGAAACAGACCCTTCAGTCCTACTCGTCCACGCCAACCAGATATCCTAAATTAATCTAGTCCCATTTGCCAGCATTTGTCCCATATCCCTCTAAACCCTTCCTATTCATGTACCCTTTTAAATGTTGTAATTGTACCAGCCTCCGTTACCTACTCTGGCAGCTCATACCATACACACAACACCCTCTGTGTGAAAAAGTAGCCTCGTAGGTCCCTTTTAAATCTTTCCCCCCTCACTTAAACCTGTGCCTCTAGTTTTGAACTCCCCTCCCCTGGGAAAGCGACCTTGGTTATTCACCCTATCCATGCCCCTCATGACTTTATAAACCTCTATAAGGTTTAGCCTCCGACACTCCAGGGAAAATAGCCCCAGCCTATTCAGCCTCTCCCTATAGCTCAAACCCTCCAACCCCGGCAACATCCTCGTAAATCTTTTCTGAGCCCTTTCCTTTTTGTTTTCGCAGCATTGTCAAAGGATGAAAGGATTTCGAATTCAAGTGTTTATTGTCCTCACCACCTTCTTATGGACATCAGGACTAGGATGCCACAGCGGTATGTAAGAAAAATGCTTTCCCTGTCTACTTGTTTGCTTATGAAAATGTCGTTATGTTTTGCAGATTATGTCACGCTGCAGTTGAAACTATTAAAGCCACAGCAATTTTAATGATTATAATCTATAATGAAGAGATATGATATTAAAATGCGTTGACAGGATAGCCGCTGAGGAGATGTTTCAGCTCGTGGGTGAGATCAAAGCTGGGGACTGAAGTATCTTTGATAAATGCAATAGGGTCAGGAGAAACTGAATACAAAAAATGCTAGAAATCGCAGTAGGTCAGGTAGCATCCATGGAGAGAGAGCGACTAACATTTCGAGGCCAGGTGACTCCTCATCAGAGCTGAAGTGAAGTGTGTCGGGGGGCAATATTTATGCAATAGTTGGGGGGTGTTGGTTGGAGTGCTGCAGGAGAAAGGATGTTTCTAGTTCAGATTAAGTGATCGGAACGTGAGAATGGCAGATCAATTGTTCTGGACTGGAAAGAACAGGCAATCCCACTGGGCAAGGGAGAGAGAACATAGTAACAGATGATGTAACAAGTAAAGCTAAATGAAAGGGAAGGAAAGGGAGTGGGTTCACAATCTGAAGGGGTTGAACTCTTAATATTAAGTCCAGAAGGTTGTAAAGTACCTAGTCTGAAGACAATGTTGTTCCTCCCCTGTGATTCACTGAAGCAAGCAGGTCGAGGACAGACAAGTGGACATGTGAGCAGGAGAAATATCTTTACCTAGAGAATGGTTAGAAATGGAACACACTCCAATAAGGAGTGGTCAAGGTCATTTTCCTTTTCGCATGCAAAGTCGAACAGTGCTTATACTTACACTTGTTTCCATGGCTGTGTTTCATGGAAGGGATTACTAATCCCTCACTGACAGGCTGTAACTTGAGGGCCAGCACTCCACATCAACAGAAGAAGATACTCCCACTCTTACTGCCTGTTGTAGGTGCTTTGGAAGACCTTTCTTGGCCACCTCAAAGTCCTGAGTCAGACTTGAACCCAGGATCGGGGTCAGGGACGCTGCCCACTCCATTACCAATGCTTCCTTGAGGTGAATGGCACCAATGCATTTTACTGAAATCTAGATAAGTACGAGGGAGAAAGGAATCAACAGCTGAATAGGCTGGGTTTATTTTCCCTACAGCAGCGGAGGCTGATGGGTGACCTTGTAAAGGTTTATAAAATCACGAGGGGCATGGTTAGGGTGAATAGCCAAAGTTTTTTTCCTAGGGTTAGGAAGTCCAGAACTAGAGCGCATAGTTTAAGGTAAGATTTTAAAGGGACATCTTTTTCACACAGAGGGTGGTGCGTGTATGGAATGAGCTGCCAGAGGAAGTGGTGGAGGCTGGTACAATTACAGCATTTAAAAGGCACCTGGATGGGTATATGAATAGGAAGGGTTTAGAGGGATATGAGCCAAATGCTGGCAAATGGGACTAGATTAATTTAGGAAATCTGGTCAGCGTGGATGAGTTGGATTGAAGGATATGTTTCCGTGCTGTACAGCTCTATGGCTCTATGAACCTATGCTGAGTAGGCTCTATAAAATAACATGGGAAAAGGCTTGTGCATTGAAACCAGCACTGATCAGCTGGACCTGTCTTCATCTGCAAATTCTTGGTAACTCTAAGAGTCGCTTGGTCCTGAGAAGGTGATGATGAGCCTCTGCACTGAACTACTGCAGTCCATGCGGTGATTGCATCCTCTCATCATCTTCAAGATCCATGATTTCGTCCTTGCCAGCCCAGGTTGTTACTTACCTTTGTACTGGTAGTGGCTCAATCTTTCCCATCTCTGTATGGGGTGCCCTTGCCGTGTGGAAGAAGATCTGGCATCCCTGTCTCCTCACAGCTCAACATTTATGTGTGAGTTAATTTCTTGGATTGGCGGGGTGAGATTCCTAGCCCGTGAAGTAAATTTACAACCCCCTTTGTTTCCCACTCTCTTTTGGAACAGGAGATGAAGATTTGTGGTGTACAGTTGATTACCTCACGACAATGACTTGTTGCTGGTCGGACAAAGTTTCTAAAAATGCCTGCTGTACATTGTGGGTTAATGACCCGGAACATGACGAAGAGGACGAGGATGAGTAAGTGACATTTTAATTTCTAACCTCCCTGCAGCTCACAAAGACTGCTACATTCCCTCAATGTTGTCTTTACAAAGCCTTTTTCCATGAACTTTCTTCAACGTAGAGATAACACAGTGTGGAGCTGGAGGAACACAGCGAACCAGGCAGTTCCTCCAGCTCCACACTGTGTTATCCCTCACTCCAACATCGGCAGTTCTTACTATCTCTTCTTCACTGTAGAACCTTGTCCAATAATAGTCACCTTATTTGCTCCCTGAATGAGTGGTGGAAGCAAAATCAATAATAATTTTCAGAAAGGGAATTGGAGAAATAGTCAAAATGGCAAAACCTTCATGGGTACAGAGAAGGAGCATTGGCAGTGATTGTACCTAGAGTGGCACAGTGGTTAGCCCTGCTGCCTCACAGTGACCTGGGTTCGATTCCACCCTTGGGCGACTGTGTGGAGTTTGCACATTCTCCCCGTGTCTGCATGGGTTTCCTCCCACAATCCAAAGATGTACAGGTTAAGGTGGATTGGCCAGGTAAATTGCCCCATAATTTCTAGGGATGTGCAGGCTGGGTGGGTTAGCCGTGTCAATGTGGGGTTACTGGGACAGGGTGGGAGTTGTGTTGGGGTGAAATATTAAGGGTCAGTGCAGAATTGATGAGGCACTCTGGAGGGATTCTATAGATTCCAGAATCCATGATTCTAAAACTCACCAACCATCAGAAATAATGTCTTTCTATCTGCCTCACCCATTCCCTTTTGTCTATTGACTCTCAAGCATCCTAGAAAGTTATCATCATAGAACCCCTACAGTGTGGAAACAGGCCCTTCGGCCCAACAAGTCCGCACCGAAACACAGAGCATCCCACCCAGACCCATGCCCCTAATCTACACATCCCTGAAACTACAGGCAATTTAGCATGGCCAATCCACCTAACCTGCACATCTTTGGATTGTGGGAGGAAACTGGAGCACCCGGAGGAAACCCACGCAGACACGGGGAGAATGTGCAAACTCTACACAGACAGTCACCCAAGGGTGGAATCGAACCCAGGTCCGTGACGCTGTGAGGCAGCATGCTAACCACTGAGCCATGGGTTGTTTAATTATAGCCAACCCATACAAATGGAATCCAATGGACCAGCCAGCTGGTCAACTTAAACATCAGGAAACCCGTCCCTAAAGAGACCGTGAGCATAGGTACACTCCATGGACCACAGCAGTTCAACAGGTGGCTCACCAGCACCTTGCCCAGGATAGACAACAAATACTAGTCCGATGCCTGCATTCTACAATCCAATAAAAATAAATCAGTAATTTGGCCTTTGAAGTCTAGCTATCATTCTGGCAAAACACTGAAGATGCTGCAATTAATCAGCAGTTAGGGAGTGACAACATTTAACTTTGACACATCAGAACCCTGGGAGATCTACACTGCAATCCTTCCAAAGCTAATGTGTCCTTGCTGAGGTGCAGCTGTTCCCAGTAACTCCAGCTGTAGTCGACCACATACACCACACCATCAGTAATCTCTTTATTGATTGTGGCATGATATTTTGCCAAGAATAACTGTTTGCTTACATGGCAGTTAATATTGTTCGCTTGTGATTGGTTGGGTGAGGTCCATGCATGGTGTTTATTGGAGATGTTCCGTTCGAATCTGTGTGGGTGCAGGGGCCGAAAAGAACTTTAGGTTTGTCCATTTGGAGCGTAAGAGTAGCAAGCCAAGATAGCTGAGGCCAACAGTGTGTGTCATGTTATAGATCATGAAGGATGTGCTGTTGTATTGCGTACTTTTTTATACATAGTCCAGATCGATCATGGGAGAGGAACCTTTCCGTCACACAGGTAACCAGGAACCTCCCACTCTTACCCCCCACTGATTGAAGGATTTACAGGTTTATTCTCAACCTGCCTGGCCATGTTCCAAAAGTACCTTCCTTTATTGTCAAGTCCTCAGTTGGGACTCGAATCCCAGAACTTCTGGGTTTTGGGATTGGGGTCACCATGGAAGGGGCTTTGCTACCAGGGTCTGGTCTACCTTCCATACCTGACTTGGTTTGTACCAGTCCCTTTCACATTGATCTGGTTGGCAAATCTTCTCTGCTCTAATTTAAGATCATGTAACATAGGAGCAGAAGTAAGCCTTTCAGCCCATCAAGTCTTCTCCATCATTCAATGAGATCATGGCTGATGTGATCACCCTCAAACTCCACTTTCCTGCCTTTTCCCCATAACCCTTGATTCCCCTACTGATTAAAAATCTCTTTCTCACCATTGAATATTAGGAGGGGATGGCCTAATGGTATTATCACTGGGTTGTTAATCCTGAGACATAAGAAATATCCTGGAGACCTAGGTTCAAATCCTATTGTCACAGGTGTTTGAATTTGACTTCCAGATTTTTGTTTATTTAAAGGCTAAAGCATGAATCCATTGCTGATTGTTGGGAAAAACCCATCTGGTTCACTAACGTCCTTTAAGGAAGGAACCTGCCATCCTTACCTGGTCTGGCCTACATGTGACTCCAGACCCACAGCAATGTAGTTGATGCTTAACTGCCCTCTGGGATGGGTAATAAATGCTCGCCTAGCCAGCATATAAATGAATAAAAAACTTTTAAATATGTACTTAACACCCAGTCTCGAGAGCCCTCTGCAGTAAAGAATTTCACTGATTCACTATCATTTGAGAGAACAAATTTTGTTCTAAATGTGTGACCCTATACTCTGAAGTTGTGTCCTCTGGTTCTAGACTCTCTCACAAGGGGAAACAACAATCCTGTACCTGCCCTGTCAAGTCCCCTAAGAATCTTGCATATTCCAATGAGGTCACTCCTTGTTCTTTTACATTCCAATGAGTTCAGGACCAATTTTCTCAATTTCTCCTCATAAGACAGTCCCTCCATATCTGATATCAGTTTCAATCAGGCCAATTCCCATAAATCTGGATATAGGCACGGTAAAGCAATTGAAATTCTTTGTTCACCCCATTTACATTCCTCCAGCCCTGGCTTCAATCATGTCTCTCCCACCCTCCAGTTCAGACTATTTACATTATCTGTTACACTGCTGACTGGTTTATATTAGCACTATAAAATCATGACAGACGTTGATAAGGTAGATAGCCAACAGCTTTTCTCCATGGTAGGGGAGTCTAAAACTAGACGGGCAAAGGTTTAAGGTAAGAGGGGAGAAAAAGGGTCCTGAGGTGGAACGTTTTCAAACAGAGGGTGGTGAGGGTCTGGAACGGGCTGCCAGAGGCTGTGTTGGAAGCGAGTACAATTTTGTCATTGAAGAAACGTTTGGACAGGTCCATGATGGGATAAGTGCGGAGGGATTTGGACCAAACACAGGCAAATGGGACTAGTTTAATTTTGAAAACAGGGCAGCATGGGCTAGTTGGGCCGAAGGGCCTGTCTCCATGCGGTACACCCTTATGACTCGACGACTCTATAACACAAGGGCCTCCATAATGTAGTTAGTAGGACCGGCAAAATGGTGAGAGGTTTGAGAGCGAAAGACTAGTGCTCAAAGATGAGAGAAAAGAAATGGCCTACTAGTCAATAAGCATTTTCCTGAATGTTGTATTGTTGTAGGTCTCAATACAGAATGGTATGTAGATTGATGCCTTAACTCAAACCCATTGAAAACTGAGTGAACGCATTCTCACTTTATGACTCAAAATATAGGGCAAACAGCAACAAGGCTGAGACCAAGAGAGATATGTGTTCATCAGTCAGTGAATAAACAGATCAGTTGAAATTTTGAAAGGATTACCACGCCTCATTCAGTACCCACCCCACGTGTGCTCCAAAAACAAGAAGAAAAATATGTTTTTCAGGACATAAGGTGGTTTTTCTGGTGAACACATTTATTAAAACAAACCACTGTGGAGAGGTGTATTAACAAGTACAGAAATACCCCCATAATTGACTCATACATTATTATAGCTCTCCAACAGTGTTAGAGAGTGATCACAGTCCCCAAACCTCAGCGAAGTGACATACGTTCACAAGGACATGTGAACGTTTCATTAGCAAAACTGAGGTATATGCACAATCAAAAATATACGCACAGAATGTACTCATACATGAGGCAGGTGCAGTCACAGACCAGCAGATATACACTCACACGCATACACACACAGACACACACACATTCACACACACACACTCACACACACACACACACACATACACTCACACGCACACACACACAGACACACACACATATACAGACACACACACACACACACACAGACACACACACACACACACACTCACACACACACACACACACACACACATACACTTACGCACACACACAGACACACACACATACACTCACACACACACAGACACACACACATATACACACACGCATACACACACAGACACACACAAATACACTCTCACACACTCACACAGACACACACACACACACACACACACACAAACACACACACACACACTCACATGCACACACACACGCAGACGCACACACACACACACACACTCACACACACACACATACACTCACACGCACACACACAGACACACACACATACACTCACACACACAGACACACACACACATTCACACTCACACACACTCTCACACACAGACACACACACACATACACACACACACAGACACACACACACACACAGACACAGACATGCACACCCACACACACGCACACCCACACAGACATGCACACACACACACAGACAC